CCCCATTTCCTACATTCAGCTGAACAATTCTATTTTTATACAAGTCACGTGACAAACAGCTGATACGTGTGATACAACTGGTAATAAATACGGTCCAGTCCCATCAATTATTGATAGCTATATTACATTTTCTACAAGTATTCAGTTGCTTTGTTACAATTTTTTAAAAGAAGTAATACATATAAAACGGTGCAAAGGTCACATTTTCTATATCGGCCTTTCACATAGCTGAGTCGCGTGCCTATATTTTTACTGTCAAAAACACTTTGAGGAATGATGCTACTTCGAAAATGGGGACTAATTCTGGGAAACTCTTTGAGCCTCCAAACGTGCCACCTGAATCCAAGGATTAAAAATAAAATATCAGTACATTTAGTCAATTTTAATATTCCATTACACCAATAAAATTCTTGAAAGAGAAGAAATAATTCCATGTTGATTACCTGTAATTGAAAATGTACATGTAACGGTCTAAGTTGAACGGTTTTTTACGGAATGTTAATCGGAACTAAAGGCACGTGGTTTATTGATTTTTTTTTTATTCACAAGGTTATTTGAGTCCACAAATCACGTGATAAATTAGAATACTAAACAGGTCACAATGAGGTCAATGAATTGTAAATACCCGTAAAGATTGAAAAAAAGAAAGGTTGGCATTTTGTACCTTTTTTCAAAAAGTTTACCCCGAGCGCAGACTCGCCCAAAATTCTCCCTTAAATATGTCGAATTTCTGACAGTTCTACACCTTATGTCCCTTTGAGAAAGAAAGATTGCACTTAGTGTACAAAAAGTACAAAAATAAAGTATAGAAAACAGCCTAATGAAGTTTATAAACAATTCTTCTAGGTCTTAATCGCTACTTTGCAAAATTACAGAAATTAAAAGTGAGTAAAATTAAAGAACGAGGCTGTGTTTTGTATGAGGGGTGTTACAACGCACTTTGAAAAATTACGCACTTTGAAAAAAATTTTCAAAGTGCGTTAAAATTTGGGACCAAGCTAACGCACTTAAAAAAAAATATTCACCATATTAACGCACTTTGAAAAAAAATGTAAAGATAAATCAATATTCCTTCAAATAATCGTTATGATAAATAACAGATCCTGGTTTGATAATTTTTTTTATGATAAAGTCACTGTAATCACCTGAGATATTGACGTTTTAAATATTTAAGGTTTTGATAAAATAAAAGGGAAAATTAAAGGGTCTTGAAAAAAAGAGTGACGAATGTTTATGTTCATTAATTCGTTTCTTCTTCTTTTTAATTCTAGTCTTTGATAAGTAGATTAAAGGTGTATAGGGGGCACTACATGTAACAGAGGACAGCTTTAAGCAATTTAGCATTTATCATAATAAAAAGGGACCAATTTGTTTGTTCAAAACTATGAAAATTCTTTCTCTCTCATACGTTTTACTGTACTTAAAAATTTCTATTTTTCATCTGTTTTAATCAACTCATTTATTATTGAAAGTTTTCAACGTCATACCAGTTAGGTAAGTATATAATTATATGAATGCTTTGAGTATAGCATAGACATCGAGACTGGGCGAAGGGCCAGGGGAGGGGATGGGGGGCTAAGCCCCCCACTTTTTTTGGAAAGATATATACATTGTATAAGCATTGAAAATGCAGCGAACCCTTTTTAGGTTTATTGCTCCCCTCCCCCGATTGTTACCGACACTTATGTATTGGAAAGAAAAAGATTTGAACTGAGGGATCTTATACCCGTCTTCTCCTCTTTTCGACGGGATCGAGTAAATCAATTCATTTTTGAGGTTAGGTTTAGGCTTAGTAATTTGAAAGATATATAACAAATAAAATCTTTCCATGAGTAAAAAATGATTTTTTTTCAAAGTGCGTTAAGTGTCCCTATGGTAAAATATATTGATGTATACTCTTAACGCACTTTGAAAAAATTTTCAAAGTGCGTTGAGTTGGTCCCAAATTTAACGCACTTAGAAAAAAAATTTCAAAGTGCGTTGATTTTGTCCCAATTTTAAGGCACTTTGAAAATTTTTTTCAAAGTGCGTAATTTTTTCAAAGTGCGTTGCCACAGAGGGGTCAATGCAAATCACGAATCTCCATTGTTATTCAAAGTTATTCCAATTTATAGAGCTGAAATACATAGTTAGTTTAACAACTTATAGAGCTGAAATACATAGTGAGCGTATGCTTGCCCAAATTTCTCAAAAGTACAGAAGGTGTTGAACTGTTGGAAATTCAACATATTTAAGGGAGAATTTTGTGCAAGCCTGCGCTCGGGGTAAACCTTTGGAAAAAAGGTACAAAATGCCGACAGTTTTCTTCACTGCTTACGGGTATTTACATGTCATTGACCTCATTGTGACCTGTTTAATATTCCAATTTACCACGTGATTTGTAGATTCAGGTAACAATGTGAATACAAAAATTGAATAAACCACGTGGTTGTAGATCCGATTAACATTCGTCGAAAGGCGTCCAACCTAGACCATTACATGTACATGTACAGTTTCAATTATTCAACATAGAATAATCGGTATTTCATTTTTTGTCAAGTGTTTAAATATGGTGATGGAATATTAAATGGAACAAAATGTTATGATCTTTTATTTTTAGTCCTCGGATTTGGGGGCCGGGGCAGGTTTGGAGGTTTAACGAGTTTCAAAGATTTAGCTCCAATCTTCGAAGTAACATCATTCTTCAAAGTGTTTTGACTGTAAAAATATAAGGAAACGGGGTAGAAGTAATATACACGTACTTATAGATTGTTTAAAACTGGCATGGAATTCTTACTGGTACACCCCCCCACCCCCCCAAAAACGTTTTTTTTTTAGTTTTAAAATATCACCACATGCAGCATTTCAAAAAAATATATTTCGTAAATAATAATTTGTAAGTATTTACTGTACTTTAAAAATACGAATAGAGAGAGAGAGAGAGAGAGAGAGAGAGAGAGAGAGAGAGATTCAAATTTTCGATACGACACTAATTTTTTAGAATATATAGAAGTTTTTCTTAAATATAATTTTCCCCCGTTTTCATATACAAGTAGGCTCAGTTTATTTAAGTGTTAAATTTCCACCTAGAAATTTAACGACCACTAATTGGGGGATCTGGATTTATAGGGATCATATACATCTCAAAGATCCTTCCCATCTCCCCCCCCCCCACAAAAAAAAATGTGGCGTAATCCTTGAGAAATTCTTTGTGTTTATTTTTCTGTATACAGTTTGTATTTTGTATTAAATTCCAGAAGCCATTATAACTGGCTAAATATTACACACTGTTACATGTTTTCAATCGATCGATGAAATGCCCCGCCTACTCCGAATATTAATGTGACACAATTAAAACCCAACTTGGACAAGCGCAGCATTCCGGAATTAACACCCAGTTATGGCTTTTTTAGTTACCATTTATAAAACTAAGGCGCCGTTTTCGGTGTGAATTTTTACAAGTAATATACCACAAAGATAACAAAGTATGAGTAAGGTGTAAAATTATTAAGATTTGAGTTATTTAGATAAAGTTAGAGGGGTCCAAAAAAGGGGCCACGGCACTATGCTTAAGTGGAAACATTCTTTGGGCAAGAATGCGCTCACCATGTGTTCCAGCTCTCAAAATCGAAAAGACTTTGAATATGAATGGAGATTCGTAATTTGCATTGAACCCTCTTACAACCCTCTTACAAACCACAGCCTGATTCTTTAATTTCAGTTGCTTTTAATGTCTGTAATTTTGCAAAGTTGCGACAAAGACCTAGAAGAATTATTAATCTGGTAAGGCTACTTTTCATACTATATTTTTGCACAATATACCGGGGGCCAAGTTTTTTACACTAAGTGCCATCATTCTTAATATAAAAAATATATTGATGAAATAAATAACTTTTATTTGTATTATAAAGCGATGTTTTATTATTAGAGGTTGCTACAAAGCATGATTTACAAATCTTTTACAATTTACAATAATCTATTATCTTTACAAAATATCGATAATGGACTTTACATTTAAAGTTTATTCAGACATGTAGTTGTGTAGATGCTTTTTTCTCTCATCACAACACTAGTCTTCTAGCTTTTTGTCATGACGGAGGTATTTGTAAAGGAGGTTATTTTATAAACGATATAGAAATTGTTTAAAACTTTTCATTAATTATAGATTTTTAAAAAGTGGAGATATTCTACTGTGGGACGTGGAGACCGGTCATTCGGATGAGATCCTGTAAAACGATGCCCCCTGTCGCTGTAGATGCTAGCCCGAAAAAGATCTCTCACTGTTGAATGGCCTTAAAAGCCAATCAGGAAACACATTTCGCAGCTCTCCACCGGCAAGTGGTGGCGTCTTCTTCTGAGTGAAAATCTCGAGAGGGACGGTAAAAAACAAACAAACAAACAAAAAGAATTTATTTTCGTTCAAATGTGTCCATATCTGTCAGATGCATCGATTCAACCCTCTTCTTTCTTTCTCTTGTTAAAAAAAGATTTTTCAAGTAAATGAAAAATTAAAGGCCGTCGTTAAACGACCAACCCATAAATATCCTCATTCTCAACTATTGTAATTGGTATGTTTGTTGACCTGAGTGAAATCAAGATTTTTACATGGCTATCAATTTATTTTATAGTACATATGCATTAATTTTACTTCTGTTAAAACTTTGTAAAACTGCTTTATGTCATTGACACAAGACTACTATTTTTAATTGTCTTAATACTTACCTCTTAAAAAAAAATAGAAAATGAAGAAGCATTCCTTGACTGATTTCTCGCGTCTAGGTTGTAAGATCCGCGAAAGTTGTAAAAGGTAGAAAGAATCGCGACACCAGCTGGTGTCTCTGAACTTCCACTTTTCAATATGGCCTCCACTCTGACCCCCCTCCCCCCGTGCCTGCACATTTCATAATATAAAAAGCAGGGGTAAGTATCAGAGGAATATCGGATTATATAGTCAGTATCTTTGGGAAGTCAACATGAATTTTCAAACATTGTAAAAAAAAGAGAAAAGAAGGACAAAAAGGTGATTTATTATACTTGCTTTAATTCATAAGTATGTATGATTTTTTAATTGCCTTTATACTTTGAATCCAGAAAAACTGGACCAAAGTCCCTCCAGGTTGTTTGCGCCTGCAGTCCGGATGTTAACTCTATCTCCGGCTTTCAAAACCAGTGGGTATGTTCGTGAGCAGTTTTCATATCCTTGACCTTTAAGATTATTACAGTTTCCGAGTCCTTTTCTTCGACCATTGAGAAGGATTTCCGAGTCAAACATCTTTCTGGGTGCCACGACACTTGCCCAAGAAAATACGTAAAGCCCATCAGATGGCGCTTCGAAGACACCCGTGTGTCGATTGTAGGCGTTTCCATAGTTGTAATATACACCATCGTAAACAACGTTGACCTTAGAACGTATGTTCAGGTGTAGTGATCTGGTTGGATATGCATTGAATGCGATAAAGTTACCTGCAATATAAAAGTTAAATACTGCAGTATTACAAAAAGAATAATGACACATCAATCAAAAATATGTATTACCTTTTTTATATAAAGAAACATTCAAAATTGGTTTTAAAGAATTCCAGTGATCATTTGAACCACAATTATGTAATTGAATTAAACTTGGCGTTTTTGCTATATGCTCACGAAATATTTGATTAAAAATGGTACAGTTCATGAATATAACATGAATTTCAACATATTATTTTTCGCTTGCATTATCCATATAACTAGTCCCAGTAACTAAAAATACATTGATTGAATTCAAACATCAAAACATCACAGAAAACAAATTCTTGTATTTATGTAAAAACGGAATTGAGGGTTATTTACTAATTAAAATAATTGAAATTACAAGTTAAAACAACAAAATGAACAAGTGCTAACCGGAAAAGTTACAATTTAAATGACAAATTTAAGATTTAAAATTTACCTGACGGCTCCACTAGTCGGAACGATGATAAGAAAATAACAAAAACAGCAGCTTTGAAACACAGCATCTTTCAAGCTCTAAAAATAGTTAAATAAACAGTTCTTGGTATGAATATTTATAAGAGTTTCTGTATACAGTGTTATTTTCTTAGCGCGTGTTATTATTTTTGCCTTTTCACGCCCACGAACTTATTTGTACCGTTTTAAACTCGTTCTGTCATAGTTTGTATAAGAAATTATACCACATGCTTTGAATTCGCCTTGTTGTAAATTCACCCAAATATAGGTAGGGTGAAAGGACAAAAATTACACTTGCCGAAAATTTTCCTTTATACGGTAGCATGTTAAGAGAAAAAAGAAAACATTATCTACTTTACAATTTGCAGGTATATTGTACAATATATTATATAATGTTATTACCTTTTCGTTGAAGAAACCGCTCACCGGTATACGAAAATTAGGCAACGGACAGATATATATATATATAGATATAATGTAGGAGGTTCTATGTACCTGTAACATATGCAAGTCAACTATGATATTGACATCTCGAAATAAAATTATGCAAAAAACCATGCCGGATGAAACTGTTGCAACTTTTTTTTTTTTTTTTAGAAAAATCCATACCGATCTGATGTGAATTGTAAAGAAAACTTCAGGATGCTCCAACATTAATGTTATTTTGTGTTTAAATTTAGAATATAATTACACGAAAAATAAATATCATCTTCTTTTAAACAATACTTATCTCTCGTCCTTCCTTTCGCAATCGATATCGTGTTAATTACTGCCCAAACAGAATTAGCTTTATTTTTTTTACGTTTTGGTGAAACAGGTGAAGAAATGATATATTTACCAAAAATAATTATCTCTGTGAATAAAAAAAAACTGAAGAAAATATATATTTGCATGTTATTTCTCTCATGGTATAATGAAACTTCAAATGAAATACTCAGTAATTGTATCGGAATGAATAGTATCATTTTACAATTTCAAAACTTTACAAACATCCTGCATGAAATGAAAGCTCATGTACATGAAATAAAAAGCGTCTACAGGTTTGTTTACCTGGTAAAAGATGCACTTTTAAAAATAGGAATCCCTGACAGCTACGCAAATATTTATGCCTGAAAATAAGATTAACAAAAGTCATATATGTGAAAATCTTGATCAAAACTAAATTATAATCATACGAAAACAATTTACCACAGTGAAAACTGGATTTTGTCTAGAAATGTATGCGTTTTGGAAATTCTAATATTTGTCATTTTGTAACAAGTTGGACTAAATGAAATTTATATTACAAAATGAACGATCTATGGAAGTTTTCCAATTATGGATGGTTATTGTATTGGTCAGAGATAGTTATGGATGGTAATTGTATTGGTCAGAGATAGTTATGGGTGGTACTTGTAATGGTCTGAGATAATTATGGGTGGTAATTGTAATGGTCTGATATAGTTATGGGTGGTAATTGTAATTGTCAGAGATAGCTATGGGTGGTAATTGTAATAGTCAGAGATAGCTATTGGTAGTAATTGTAATGTTCAGAGATAGTTATGTATAGTAATTGTATTTGTCAGATATAGTTATGGGTGGTACTTGTAATGGTCAGAGATAGTTATGGGTGGTTATTGTAATGTTCAGAGATAGTTATGAATAGTAATTGTATTTGTCAGATATAGCTATGGGTGGTAATTGTAATGGTCAGAGATAGCTATGGGTGGTAATTGTAATGGGAGAGATAGCTATGGGTAGTAATTGTAATGGTCAGAGATAGTTATGGATAATAATTGTAATGGTCAGAGATAGTTATGGGTGCTAATTGTAATGGTCAGAGATAGCTATGGGTAGTAATTGTAATAGTCAGAAATAGTTATGGGTAGTAATTGTAATGGTCAGAGATAGTTACGGGTGGTAATTGTAATGGTCAGAGATAGTTACGGGTGGTAATTGTAATGGTCAGGAATAGTTATGGGTGGTACATATTATGACCTGAGATAGCTATGGATGGTAATTTTAATTGTCAGAGATAGCTATGGATAGTAATTTTAATTGTCAGAGATAGTTATGGGTGGTAATTGTAATGGTCAGAGATAGTTATGGAAGTTAATTGTAATGGTCAGGAATTGTTATGGCCGGTAATTGTAATGTTCTTAGACAGCTATGGATGGTAATTGTAATGGTCTGAGACAGTTATGGATGGTAATAGTAATGGTCAGAGATAGTTATGGTGGTAAATGTAATAGTCAGGAATAGTTATGGGTGGTACATGTAATAGCTGAGATTGATATTGGTCGTACTTTGATTTTGCAGATGTTGTGAAGTTGGGTTGTGTAAAAATAATCATAATTGGTATATGTGGTCTTGGATGGGAGTACAAAATGACCGATCTATGGATGTTCTGGGATTTGAGACCTTTTCACAAGAATCAAGTTGGGATTAAAATTTAAATATAGATGGTTATGTTCCTGAAAGAAAAGACAAACAAAATAAGAAGGACGGTGGAATATTTATATATTTCTCAAATGATTTATAGGATAAAAATCGAACAGATTTAGAGATCAGTAACATTAAGACAATATGGTTAGAAATTTAATGAATGAACACAAAACATATATTTTATTGTTCTCCATACCGCTCTAACAAAAAATACTATAGTTAACTATAGTTTACTATAGTAAATCAAAGTTCCAAAGTTTTCACCATAGTAAATCAAAGTTCCAAAGTTTGTACTATATTGAATCAAAGTTTCAAAGTTTTCGCCATAATAAAAAAAAAGTTCAAAAGTTATTACTATAGTAAATCAAAGTTCCAAAGTTTTCTCCATAGTAAATTAAAGTTCCAAAGTTTTCTCCATAGTAAATCAAAGTATTCAAGTTTTTGTAATTTGTTTTATTATTTTTCCTTTTTAATATCAGTCTCTTTTGAAGGGGATGGTATTGGTTTGTTTTTCCTGGTTTTATTGTTCATCTTAATTTAAATATGCAAAGTAATTAATTTAAATGCAAAATTAACTTTTAACAGTAGAAAAAAAAAATATCTGAAATTAAGGAAGCAAATATTTTGATTCTAAATGATGTAATTTTTATCCTTTTTCCGCATAAATTATAATAAATATTGCTTATTTATCGGTGCAAGAAACAATTTTTACAGTAATATTCATTTCTTGTACTCTGTTTTTTTTTTTGGGGGGGGGGGGGGGGAGGGGACAGGTTGAATTTTTGAAACGTTCCCTGAAACTTTAATGAATCTTACTCTTGAAATTTCATAAAATGTACTGAATGGGAAGCAAAAACATAATTCCAAGGGTTTTATAGTACTTAATGAAAGTTCCAAAGTTTTTACCATAGTAAATCAAAGTTCCAAAGTTTTTACCATAGTAAATCAAAGTTCCAAAGTTATTACTATAGTAAATCATAGTTCCAAAGTTATTACTATAGTAAATCAGAGTTCCAAAGTTTTCTTTATAGTAAATCAAAGTTCCAAAGTTTTCACTATAGTTAATCAAAGTTCCAACGTTTTAAGTTTGGTTCTAAAGTTAACTATAGTAAACTATAATTAACTTAAGTTTACTTTAGTATTTTTTGCTAATGCGCCCACCATCTGCACCCTCCTGTTAGGTAGAGGACTGACCAAGGAAGATGAACTGTGTCTTCTGCTGTGACTTTAATATAGATATGTTAAAAGACACCCCCCTCCGGTGAATCTTGGACACCTGCCCTTGACATCTGGAGGAATTTGGACCAACTCAATTAAGTACCAAACTTACTAGAATAACTAACATCTCATGTACAAATTATAATTATTTTTACACAACCCTACCTGACAACATCTGCGACATCCAAGTACCACCAATAGCTATCTCTGACCATTGCAATTATCACTCATAACTATCTCTGACAATTGCATGTACAACCCATAGCTATCTCTGATCATAAAAAGTACCACCAATAGCTATCTCTGACCATTGCATGTACCACCCATAACTATCTCTCAACATCACCTTGTTTGTCTGACACTAAGATCTGACAGGAATTCTGGACTTATCGGAACTGCGACTGTTTGGAATCTCCGAAGATGTTTCGGCACATCATCTTTCCGATTAATAGCTTAAGTAACTCTGGGAAAATCGAACTAAAATAAAAATAGTAATCAACATCGATTTTGCTACCTAATGAGAAGAATGGGAATGTAGTTAAGAAAAATGGTATAAGTCTACTTTTCTTTTTCTTCTAATTCTGTTTGTTAAAAATAATCATTCGAGTTTCTTTTTGGAAATTATGATATAGAATGATTGTTACATTTTGCTGTATACAGTAGTTTGCTAAAAGAATAAAGTGTTTCCCTGAAGAAAACATCTAGATTGTAGTATGCATGCATGTATATTATCTAAATTACCCTTTTGTTGCAAAAGTTGCTCACCGATATAAGATAATAGAACGGATATATCAATAGATAGAATTTTGAAAATGCTATGTACATGTAACGTATGCAATTTAATTATGATATTGATATCTCGAAATAAAATTATATACACATTAAAAATATAGCAACCCATGCCGAGTGCACCTGTTTCAATTTTTGTTAAAAAATCCATACCGATCTGATGCAAATTGTAAAGAAAACTTCAGGATGCGATGTAGCAACCTCTAATGATAAAACGCCGCTTAATGATACAAATAGCATTAAGCGTTGCAATTGCAACGCTTAATGCCATAAATTATTGCATTAATAGCTGACATCATCAACCGCTAATGCTAAATCGCCGCTTAATGACAGAATTATATCATTAAGCGTCACAAATGCAGTGCAACACCGACGCTTAATGCAACAAGCAAATATCGACATAATCGACGCTTAATGATACACACTGGTGTATCATTAAGCGTTGCAGTTGCAAACCTTAGTGATATAAAATTTCGAAATCGCTTGTTATATCTAAGAGAAACACACATCTATCTTTCCTGAACAATGAGATATCACTTATCAAAATATTTATATATAATCTTGTGCTATATAAATAGTAATTATTGAAGTTTTATTGTGTTTTCTATGTAGTCGAGAACGTCGTTAAGCCCCGGATGTTTAAGAGACAGATAGTCAGATAGCTAGAAGAAAGAGATACAAACAAAGGAATAAATAAAATGATATTCAAATCCTTTTAAAAGAATCATTTTTTTTTCCTGAAAATACAGAATCAAACAAGTTATTAAATTCCTTCTAATTTGATACAATGATTTTGATACTCAACCTAAAATTTATAGAATATATTTAAATATTCCAAACTTTGTATTTTAGATTTGATACAGCTTAACACATGTCACTTTTAACGTTTAAGATATACGTATCGAGAAATAAATTTATAATTTTCACTATAATTGTATTTTTAATCTGCTTCGTTTCTCCAAATTTCGATAAAGAAAGACATCAATATTGACTATTTATGTTTAAGTATATTAAAC